ACCACTGCTTCACAGCCAACAGCAGCTCCAAGATGCAAGCTTCTCTTCCTCTCTCCCATCTGTCTATGCCTGCAGACCCCCAAAGGGACAAATCAAAAGGCTAAATAAGCACTAAGATGGGAATTCCCCCTCTTTCCACCCCTCCCACCTGTTATCAGCCCTCCCATCCACCCAGAAAGGTCAATAATGGTTTGGCAAGGAGAGGAGGCTGGGGCAGGGGGCCATGTCTCCATGGCCCAGGGCCCCAGTTAGATGGCAGCTGGAGCTGTCTGGGCAGGCAAAAGGAAACTTGGGCTCAGAGGCCCTGTGGGTTCCACCGGGCACAGAGCTGAGTCCACTGCTTACTTGCTCTGTAAGTTCCTTCCCTTCTCAGGCCTCAGTTTCTCCATCTGAAGAATGGGGGTGTTGGGTAAGATGACCTCTAAAGACCCCTGTACCTCTGATTTTTAGGGATTCTGTGTGTACAGGCTCTGGAGTTCAAGGGTGTGGGTGAAAATCTCAGCTCCTCTGCTTACTGGCTGTGGTACCTTGGGCAAATTATCTGACCTCTTTGGGCCTCAGTTTCCTCACTTGTTAAAGGAGGATAAGAATTGAACATACGTCATAGGATGACACAAAATGACACATGCCAAGCATTCAGCACAGAAAGGTGCTCAGTAAATGTGAGGTCAAGGCTTCGGGTAGAGAAGATCAGGCTAAGAGCGAGGGCTCTTGGGATCCGGTATTTTGGATGAAAGAAAGTGGTCTGGGCGGTGGCTCACGCCTGTAATCCCAGCACTTTGGGAGGCCGAGGTGGGCGGATCACCTAAGGTCAGGAGTTCGAGACCAGCCCAGCCAACATGGCGAAACCCTGTCTCTACTAAAAATACAAAAATTAGCTGGGCATGGTGACGGGCGCCTGTAGTCCCAGCTACTCCGGAGGCTGAGGCAAGAGATCACTTGAACCCGGGAGGTAGAGGTTGCAGTGAGCTGAGATCGCATCACTGTACTCTAGCCTGGACAAGACTCTATCTGAGAAAAAAAGAAAAAAAAAGGAGGCGAGGCCAGGCTTGGTGGCTCAGACCTGTAATCCCAGTACTTTGGGAGGCCAAGGCAGGTGGATCACTAGGCCAGAAGTTCGAGACCATCCTGACCAACATGGTGAAACCCCGCCTCTACTAAAATACAAAAAGTTAGCCAGGCATGGTGGCATGTACCTGTAATCCCAGCTACTTGAGACGCTGAGGCAGAGGGATCACTTGAACTCACTTGATGCAGGGAAGGCAGAGGTTGCAGTAAGCTGAGACTGCTGAGATAGCGCCATTGCACTTCAGCCTGGGGACCGAGCGAGCCTCCATCAAGAAAGAAAGAGGGGAGGGGGTAGGGGAGGAGAAAGCCCGGACAGGAGATGCTTTGGGAGCTACACACCAGGGCCGGTGCACCCTGCCAAGCCCTCCCAATGGGAAAGGCTGTACCTCTGAGGTTCTACCCACCCCTGCATACACTTCCCCTTTATTCAGCCATCCACAAGCACTCCATACCCCCAAGCCAGGAAGGAGCCTCCAGCAGGGAGGCAGCCCCAGGTGATGACTGTGCAGGGAGCTGAGCCACCACTTGAGGGCAGCAGAGACACGATCAGGATGGTGCAGGATTAGGCCTTAGAATGGGGGTGGGGTGTGAGAAAATGGGGAGAGGGTGAGGCCAGGGGGCCTTGGAGTAGGCAGAGGCTGGAGAGTGGTCACCTGTCCACGGATTCTCCATTCATGTCACATGTGATATTCATTCATCCATGTGAGCGTTTGTTCCTTTATTCATTTCTTCAATTAGTTTATTCTTGTAAGCCTGCCCCTCTTCCTTCCGTCCTTCCTTCCTTCCTTCTTTCCTTCCTCTCTTCCTCACTCTGTTCTTTTCCTTTTTTTTTTTTCCTAAGACGGTGTTTCACCATGTTGGTCAGGCTGGTCTTGAACTCCCGACCTCAGGTGATCCGCCCACCTTGGCCTCCAAAGTGCTTGGAATACAGGTGTGAGCCACCACGCCCGGCCTGTTCTTTTCCTTCTTGTCCCTTTGCTTTGTCCAGCCAGGCAATCTACTGGACATACCATCCTGAGCCACAGCTGGATACCAGCCTGAGAGAGGGGCCTGAGTCACCCACAGGCTGCAAGTCCAGCGAAGCCTCAGTAAACAGTAAAACAGTAAACAGTACCCTGGCCAGGCAGACTGTGTGACCTGCGCCACCACTCTAAAAATAAATTCCAGGAAAACAGTGCAGTCCCAGGTTCAGCAACGCCTGAGATTCGGGGAAATTCCCTGCCGACCAGAGCCAATTTCTGTGGCCTGGTGACTAATCTCCCTCTCACAGGAGCGTAAGCATAAGGTGGGGGTGAGGTTGGGGCTTGACATCAGATCGAATCTTGGCTGTGTCCTGCTGGCCTAAGACACGCCTCTGCCTCTCTCTGAGGCTCAGTTCCCAAATCTTTAAAATGAGGGGAAGCAGGTCATCTGCTTGGTCTACCTCGTGGTCTGAGACCTGAAGGAAAATTGTGCAGCTGAGGTGTGCAGGCTGTCTGAGGAGGGAGGCAGCCTGGCTTTGTGGTCAGGCCTGGATCCACATTCTAGTTCAGCCTCTTACTAGCTGTGGATCCTAGGCAACAACTTGGCCTCTCTGGGCCTCAGGCGCCTCATCTGTGAAATGGAGCTAAGAGTCCCTACCTCTTAGGGAACAGTGGCTACACAGGCTTGCAATCCATTAATGGGTGCTATTATTATTAGGAAATGCTCAGTGAAACTGTACAGCCTGACAGACGTCAAGTGTGTCATTACAGTGATTATCCCTATAGCAACCAAGGCCAAACGCCTCTGCCTGACTCTCGGCTCCCTCCACCCCCAGTCTGGCCCCACCTGCCTTCCAGCCTTGCCACCCAAGGCCTGATGACAGCAGCAGTGCGAAGGAAGATGCTGACAGCTGATCCAAGGGGGTGGGGCTACCTGCCCAGCCCGGTGCCAAGTCACTGCCCAGCCCTATGGCAGTTTCGGGGAGGAAGGGGCACCTGGAAGGCAGAGCTGTCCTGGGGAGGCTCCATCCAGCCAGGTGGAGCTCCATCCAGCCTGTGGACCACAGCCCAGAGCGGGAGCCAGGCAGAGGAGTCAGGGAGCTGGGCTCTGCCTCTCCACATAGTGAGTGACTCCTGCTCTTTAGACCACAGTGAGTTCAAAGGAGGTTGAAGGTGCTTTTTCACCTGCCTGGCTTTGGACTCCATGAGGGGTGATATCATGACCAACATAAATTAGGAGACAGCTGGGCGAAGTGGTTCACGCCTATAATCCTAGCACTTTGGGAGGCCAACGCGGATGGATCACCTGTGTTCAGGAGTTCAAGACCAGCCTGGCCAACATGGTGAAATCCCGTCTCTACTAAAAATACAAAAATCATCCGGGTGCAATGGCACATGTCTGTAGTCCCAGCTACTCGGGGGGCTGAGGCTGGAGGATCGCTTGAGCCAGGAGTTCTGGGCTGTAGTGCGCTATGCCAATTGGGTGTCCGCACTAAGTTTGGCATCAGTATGGTGACCTCCCGGAAGCGGGGGACCATCAGGTTGCCTAAGGAGGGGTGAACCAGCCCAGATAGGAAACAGAGCAGGTCAAAACTCCCGTGCTGATCAGTAATGGGATTGCACCTGTAAATAGCCACTGCACTCCAGCCTGGGCAACATAGCGAGACCCTGTCTCTTAAAAAAAAAAAAAAAAAATCTGGGCATGGTGGCTGGCACCTATAATCCCAGCTACTCAGGAGGCTGAGGAGGCAGGAGAATTGCTTGAACCCAGGAGATGGAGATTGCAGTGAACTGAGATCGCACCATTGCACTTCAGCCTAGGAGACAAGAGCAAGACTTCGTCTCAAAAAAAAAAATAAATAAATAGGCGGGACCTAATGGCGACTGCTCCCTGTTCTTTTAAGCTTCAATAGAAACAGTCCAAGATCTGGGAAGACCCTTGTGCCCATTTTTAAAAGATTTCAACTCCTGCCATTAGGAGAGGTGGAGAGATCAGGTGACAATGAGTTTCCAGTTCGACGCTGGATTTATTCCTGGCATCCAAAGTGCTCTACTGTGCAAGCACCAGCTCCCCAAGCAAGCCTCACCCTCTGCCGGGGCGGCGGGGCAGCATTCCGCTCTGGCCTCCACGGCCTCACACCTGTGGCAATCTCCTGTGGAACACCTTTTCCCTCCCCCATCTGACTGTGTCTCACTTTCTCCTCAATACTCTGCGCCTCTTCTCAGAAGGGTTTCCTGCTTCCTTCAACCTGGGGGAGGAGCTCCTTTCCCCTACTCCTGTCCTGCCGCCCATCCCTACCCTTGTTGTAGTTCTGATCACACTGATGGCCTGCCTGTCTACGGTTCTAGGCTGTGGGCTTCTCAAGGCAGGGCCGAGACTTGGTCTTGAACAGTTCAGGGTCCCCAGGCCCTTGGGCACCAGGGGAACATCTCATGGTGTGATAATAAAAAACATTCATACTTTATAGAGGGAAGTTTCCATCACTTTCCCTAGATCGTGGCCAGCTAGGGTGAGTCAGGTGGCTGCCCACCTGCGGCAAAGCTTCTTGGTGCCGGTGGGGGGTGGGCAGCCAGGCCTGGTAGGACCAGTGAGTGACCCATAAGGAGGTCATCCTCTTTCCACCTGGCAGGAAGCACCTGTGTTCTCTGTCCTAAGGGCCTTGGAGAAATGCACAATTCATTCACTCATTCATTCATTTGGTAAAGGTCACTGGTTTCTGCCTGGGATCTGGGACCCAGCCCTGAGCACCCCCTCATCCCCACTGTCACGGCCTGCTGTTTGTCCTCTCCCTTCCGACCTCCCGTGGCCCCAGCGCTGCCCGCACACAGTAGGTGCTCGGGCAGCGTTTCTTCAGGAGCCTAGCGGGCCTGGAGGGGAAGGGCCCCAGCCCAGCAGCCCGAGCCTCTCACCTGACTCTCGGGGCGCCCGGCTCGCACTTCCTCCCGCCGCCCCGCCCCTTCCACATTCCTGCCCCGCCGGGCCTGCCCCGTGCAGTCCCGGTCCCTGCGCCGCAGCCGCCTGCCCGCCTGCTCCTTGCCCGGCCCGGGATGACGGCGGCCCAGGCCGCGGGTGAGGAGGCCCCCCCAGGCGTGTGTTCCGTCAAGGTGGTCCTGGTGGGCGACGGCGGCTGCGGGAAGACGTCGCTGCTGACCGTCTTCGCCGATGGGGCCTTTCCCGAGGTGAGTACCCCGCGCCCCCGCCTCGCCTGGTTCTGCTCTCGAGCCCGGGTGTGCACAGTCCGTGCCAGAGCGGCCTAGGTTGTGCGCCTGTCCCAGCGGGGCCTGGAGTCCAGGGCAGAGTTCTTCTCTCCGTGCCACTGGGAATGAATTCTTCAGTGATGTTATCTGTACAGCAGGAGGATGGCACCTACCTGGGAGGGGTGGCACAAGGACCGAATGAGGCAACCTGGGCGCACACAAGACCCTAAGACAGCACCTGGCAGCACAATTCCGCCAAGACGGACTGAGGGCTCGGGAGCCCACTGCCTAGGTTCATATTGCGACTTTGCAGCCCTGTATCCCTGGGCAAGTCCCCCAACCCCACTGTGCCTATGTCCCTAACCACATCCAGGTGCCTGACAGTGCCCATCCACAGGGTCACCGTGACGGTGAGTTAACAGTCATCACTCAGACCCAGCCTGTGCACAGGAAGGACTCATGGAGAGTTGGCACATGTCGCTCTTGGGAAATATTGTCTCCCCTCCAGCTCTTGCCGCTGGAATGCACGTGCCATGGCTCTGCTGTGGAGGGCGGAGCTCGCCAGCTGTAGCCTCAGCTCTCCTCGTAGGAGCCCCGTGCCCCTTTTGTAACCTGCTTAGCTTCTCTGAGCCTCAGTCTCCTCACAGCAGTCCCATGAGGTAGAGGGACTGTAGAGTGGTAGTGAGATGAGCCCAGGGGAGGCCGATAGGCAGCTCCCGTGTGGTACCTGGCATGTCCTTGGCGCTGTGGGCATGCCCAGTGTTAATCCTTCCTGACATGCTCATTGACTGCCCAGGCAGACTCCATGGGCACCAGACAGTCCTTGCTCTGCTGCCTCTCAGCCCTGTTGTCCTGGAAGTCCACAGGGTTGCTCCCAGCATCTCTTCTTCCTCCTTTTTTTTTTTTTTTTCGAGACAGGCTGTCACCCAGGCTGGAGTGCAACGGTGCAATCTCAGCTCACCGCAACCTCTGCCTCCCAGAGTAGCTGGGATTACAGGTACCTGCCACCATGCCTGGCTTATTTTTTTATTTTTAATAGAGATGGGGTTTTGCCATATTGGCCAGCCTGGTCTCGAACTCCTGGCCTCAGCGATCTGCCTGCCTCAGCCTCCCAAAGTGCTGGGATTACAAGTGTGAGCCACCATTTCCTCCTTTTCTTCCCAGCATCCTCTAAGCCCCTGGAGTTGTACAGGTGCTGGGGCACCTGAGCACAGGCAGAGCAGGTCGGGCCTACCCGGTTCTTATCACTATCATGCTGATGTCCTGCCTGTCTCTCACCCTTGGCTGTGAGCCCCGGGGCTGTGTGGGGCCCTGTCACCTGCTTTCTGCTACAGCGGCATTGAGCCACTTTTTAGTGGCCTGTGGAGCTGATGTCACCTCCTTTGGCCAGTCACACGTTTTTTTAAGTTTGGGGGAACATGTTTCTGAGCCCCTAGATGCTGCCCATGGGAACTCAACAATGATGGCACCCAGGGAAAAGCCCCACAGAGGGACAGGTGGCCTAGGCCCAGGGGAAGGCACCTGATGGGTGGGGGCTGGAAGGCTGGTGCCTCACCATCGGCTCTGAGATGTCCTTGTTGGTGAGATCATCCCGATTTCAGAGCAGTTATGATGTGGAAATGAGCATCTTGCAGTTGGTAAGATGTGAATGCTTTGAGGGACATTCTGGGGCTGGCCAGAAGTGTGGGGCTGTGGAGAATGCCCTGGTTGGGAGTGGGAAGACCTGGGCTCCAAATCAGTGCTGCTACCGCTGGGCCATGTGCCTCAGGCAAGCCTCTGGGCTCTGGACTCAGTTTTCCCATCTGCAAAATAGAGCCTTTCCAGCTGTAAGACATTGTGGCTTCTCTCTTTCTTGCTTGCTTGATTGCTTTTCTTTCTTCTTTCCAATGCCACGACCGCTGCCTCTGCTTCCTGAGTTCAAGTGATTCTCCTGCCTCAGCCTCCCAAGTAGCTAAGATTACAGGTGCCACTGTGTCTGGCTAATTTTTTTTGTACTTTTGGTAAAAACGGGGTTTCACCATGTTGGCCAGGCTGGTCTTGAACTCCTGACCTCAGGTGATCAGCTCCCAGAGAGCTGGGATTACAGGTGTGAGCCACCGCGCCCGGCCCCTTGTGCATTCTTTAAAAGGGCTCTCCTGTTCCTGGGAACCCAGGACCCCCGGACAAGGGAAGAGCCTGAACAAGTCCAGCCCATCCCCCTGGTGACAAGCATGCCCTCCCCACACTTCTGGCTGGCATTTGGGGCTGCAACCATTCCCACAGGCTCAAAGCCTAGCAGCCCCCATACCAGCATGTAGATAGGAGGTGGTGGGGAGCACCTGGCCCTGCTGGCTAGAACCCCCTGAGTCCTTCCTGGTTTGTACTTGGACTCCCATGGGTGTCCTAACTAGGGATACCCTGACACACCCTCTTGAGGCGGGTCCCCTATCTTGGTAATGATCCATTTTCTGTCTGTGAGCTCCTGGAGGGCAGACCCAAGCCTGAGTCATCTTTGTCCTGGTCCAGCACAGGTCCAGCCCTTTTTCAGCTGAGGACGGCTTAACAGATAAGATTAGGTGCCATTGGTCCCATGGACAGAGGGTGACCCTGCCTGGGGGTCAAAGAACAACACGACAAATGGTACAGACAGAGTCTCTAGGATGATGTCCAGAGTGGGGGAAAGGGCTGTGACAGTTACAAGCCAGAGGGGAAACCCAGCCCCCTTCTGTCTCCAGGAACTGGAGTTGGTAATCTCAGGAAATGCAGGTGGCTGGGGACAGAGCCTGGTCTCTGGAACCACAAAGACCTGGCTCCGTCACTAGCCAGCTGTCCAGTGTGTCACCTTGAGCAAGTCACTTCCTCTGGCATCGTCAGAAAGTGGAGGTGGTACTGATGTTCCAAGCTTGCAAGGATCAGAGATGGTGCCAGCCAGGACACAGCCACACACAGAAGATCTTTAGAGAATGGTGGTGATGAGGTCATTGCCATGGGCATTTGCAAAACACTGAAACATGTGCCCCAGGAGATTCCCAGCAGGCTGCCCTGCAGCTCAGATCAAGAAGTTGACTGAGTGGGTGGTCAAGCTGGGAGCTCAGATGCAAGCGCACTGGTGCCCTTCGTAATGACAGGCCCCTGCTCTAGGACAAAGCTCAGAAGCTGGTGAGGGTCTGGGGGTATCAGTCCATTTTCACACTGCTATAAAGAACTACCAGAGACTCGGTACTTTATGAAGAAGAGGTTTAATTGACTCACATTTCTGCATGGGTGGGGAGGCCTCAGGAAACTTACAATCATGTTGGAAGGGGAAGTGGAAGCAAGGCACGTCTTACGTGGTGGCAGGAGAGAGAACGAGAAAAGAGGGAAGTGCCACATTTTTAGACCATCAGATTTCATAAGAAGATTACCACTGTTGGCCAGGCATGGTGGCTCACACCTGTCATCCCTGCATTTTGGGAGGCCGAGGCCAGCAGATCACTTGAGGTCAAGAATTTGAGACCAGCCTGGCCAACATGGTGAAACTCCATCTCTACCAAAAATACAAAAATTAGCCGGGTGTGGTGGCTCACGCCTATAATCCCAGCACTTTGGGAGGCCGAGGCGGGTGGATCATGAGGTCAAGAGATGGAGACCATCTTGGTCAACGTGGTGAAACCCCATCTCTATTAAAATTACAAAAATTAGCTGGGCATGGTGGCGCACGCCTGTAGTCCCAGCTACTCGGGAGGCTGAGGCAGGAGAATTGCTTGAACCCAGGAGGCGGAGGTTTCAGTGAGCCGAGATCGTGCCATTGCATTCCAGTCTGGGTAACAACAGCGAAATTCCATCTAAAAATAAATAAATACAAAAATTAGCCAGGTGTGGTGGCACACCTGTAATCCCAGCTACTTGGGAGGCTAAGGCAGGAGAATTGCTTGAACCTTAGAGGCAGGGGTGCAGTGAGCAAGATTGCTCTTACTGCACTCCACCCTGACTCGTCAAAAAAAAAAAAAAAAAAAAATCCCTCACTATCACAAGAATAGCATGGGGGAAACCACCCATGATACAATCACCTCCCACTGCATCCCTCCCTCCATACCTGGGGATTAAAATTTGAGATGAGATTTGGTAGGGACACATGACCAAACCATATCACCGGAGAAGGTAATATTCCTGGAAGGATGGATGGGAGCTGGTGTGGACACTGCTCCTGGCCACCAGCTTTCCCGTTGGTGGGTATTATGCTGGAGCCTCACCTGTCAGTCCATCCTCCCTCCCACATCATGGGTGACACTCTTCCCCTTTAACCAGTGAGGGGACCGTCCTAAGGTCATATAGCTGGTAAGTGCCAGGGCCGGGTCTTAAGCCAGGCACATCTAAACCCAAAAGCCAGCACTCCTAGCTATCAGGTCACACTGCCCACCACAAGGCAAAGGGCCTGAAGGAGGGCGCCCTGAGCAGGCAAGGGGGGATGGGGAGGTGGATGAGGCCCTTGTCTGTTCCTGTTGGTTCCTCTTGGTAGAGGGAGTGACAGCATGTCTAGAGTCTGGGGTGGGGCCAGCCCTTACCTCAAGGCCATCCTGACGTCTCCATCTTCCTCAGCTGCCCACTCTGGGACCTGCCTTTCTCCCCACCCCACTCCCTGCAGCTTCCCTGGAGGATGGTGCTGACCCACTGCTCAGGTGCTGCCCCTCCCAGCTGGCCGGAGCCTGATTCAGAGGGCCAGCGGGCAGGCAGGCACGAAATTCTCCTGAGTCATAGGCAGGTGGGGGCCCCACCCAGCATGCGAAGGGAAGAGGATAGGGGCCCTCCAGACTGTGGCCCCACCAACCGGCCCTGAGCAGGCAGTCGAGGCCTAGAGACCCAAAAGCAGGCAACCCAGAATGCCCCTTGAAGCAGAGGGCATAAGTTATGGCAGAGTTTTGCAAATGTCTTTACCTGTTGTGCAGACCCATCTTGCAAAAGCTCCCTCTTCATTCCTGCATTTTCATCTATGTACAAAACCTGGCCTGTTGCCCATTCATGTCATCTTCATGGCAAGGCAGTCAGCTTAGGCTGGGCAGGGCTGGAGTGAGGGGCCTCTGTCCTGAGTGACCTCCTCCCAAGCCCAGGCAGAACAAAGAAGAAAGCCCAAACGTGGGGCACTGGGCTGGGCGTGGTGGCTCACACCTGTACTCCTAGCACTTTGGGAGGCCGAGGCAGGTGGATCTTGTGAGTCCAGGAGTTTAAGACCAGTCTGGGCAACATGGCAAGATCCCATCTCTATAAAAAATTACTTTGGGAGGCCAAGGTGGGTGAATTGCTTGAGTTCAGGAGTTTGAGACCAGCCTGGCAACATAGCAAAACTGTTTCTACAAAAAAAGAAAAAGATACATAAAAAGAATATGTATGGAAAAGAAAAAAGAGGGCCGGGCGCAGTGGCTCACGCCTGTAATCCCAGCACTTTGGGAGGCCGAGGCGGGTGGATCACGAGGTCAAGAGATCGAGACCATCCTGGTCAACATGGTGAAACCCCGTCTCTACTAAAAATACAAAAAATTAGCTGGGCATGGTGGCGCGTGCCTGTAATCCCAGCTACTCAGGAGGCCGAGGCAGGAAAATTGCCTGAACCCAGGAGGCGGAGGTTGCAGTGAGCCGAGATCCCGCCATTGCACTCCAGCCTGGGTAACAAGAGCGAAACTCCGTCTCAAAAAAAAAGGAAAAAGAGAGAAAAAAAAATAAAAACAGTCTGGGCATGGTGGCTCACGCCTGTAATCTCAGCACTTTGGGAGGCCAAATCCAGTGGATCACAAGATTAAAAGATCAGGACCAATCCTGGTTAACATGGTGAAACACTGTCTCCACTAAAAATACAAAAAATTAGCTGGGCGTGGTAGCACGCTCCTGTAGTCCAGCTACTCGGGAGGCTGAGGCAGGAGAATCTCTTGAACCCAGGAGGTGGAGGTTCCAGTGAGCCAAGATTGCACCACTGCACTCCAGCCTCAGCGAGTGGTGGCATCTTGTTTGGATTGTGAGAGGTTGAGAGACAAGGGAAGAAACCCAAAAAGCTGTGAGTTCCCCAGCGCAGGGATTGAGTCTTTTGTTGCCTGCTTCCCAGTGTCCAGAACTGGGCCTAGAGAAGGTGCTATTGCCGCTGAACAAATAGATGAATGAACGAAACAAGGAATGAATAAACATGGAGGTTAGTGTTCTAGGAAGAGGGGACAGCAGAAATGGGAGTCCCAACGATACGTGCCCATGGTCCCAGCTCTTGGGTGGCAGAGTCAGGAGGATTGTTTGGGGCTGCATTGAGTTGTGATGGTGCCTTTGAATAGCTGCTGCACTCCAGCCTCAGAAATATAGGGAGACCCTGCTCTAAAAAAAAGGAAAAAACCCTGCCCTTATCCAGAGAGCAATGATAAAAATAACAGTAGTTGGCATGTAGATGTGCTTATTTTATGCCAGGCCCTGAGCTAAGTGCTCCGCACGGAACACCTCCCTGAATCCTTATAGCAGGTGGCACTGTGGTAGGGACTTTTTTTTTTGAGACGGAGTCTTGCTCTGTCACCCAGGCTGGAGTGCAATGGTGTGATCTTGGTTCACCGCAACCTCCGCCTCCCGGGTTCAACTGATTCTCCTGCCTCAGCCTCCTGAGTAGCTAGGACTACAGGTGCCTGCCACCACGCCTGGTTAATTTTTCTATTTTTGGTAGAGACAGGGTTTCACCATGTTGGCCAAGCTGGTCTCAAACTCCTGACCTCTGGTGATCTTCTCACCTCAGCATCCCAAAGGGCTGAGATTACAGGTGTGAGCCACAACACCCAGCCTTTTTTTTTTTTTTTTTGAGACAGAGTCTTGCTCTGTCACCTAGGATGGAGTGCAGTGGCACAATCTTTGCTCACTGCCACCTCCCGGTCCCAAGCGATTCTCATGCCTCAGCCTCTTGAATAGCTAGAATTACAGACAGGCACCACCATGCCTAGCTAATTTTTGTATTTTCAGTAGAGATGGGATTCACCATGTTGGCCAGGCTGGTCTTGAACTCCCGGCCTCAAGTGATCTGCCCACCTCAAATGTGCTGGAATTACAGGGGTGAGCCACGGTGCCTGGCCGGTAGGGACTTTTAATATTCCCATTTCACAACTGAGAACAAAGCTGGGGAGGTTCAAGACCTTGCAAAAACAGACAGACTCTAGGCTGCCACCCAGGCAGGCCAAGGAAGAGGCTTCTCAGAAACAACTACACTGCACTGACCCACAGAAGGTATGGTGTGGTGAAGAGCCCAGGGTCCTGCACCTCTCGGAAGTGTCCTCACAGCCTGCCCTGCCCTGCTTCTCCTCAGAGCTACACCCCCACGGTGTTTGAGCGGCACCTGATTGACGTGCAAGTGAAAGGCAAACCTGTGCACCTCCACATCTGGGACACAGCAGGTGGGTGTGCAGGGGCGGTGGCAGGGCCCCAGACGTCCCCCAGATGCCTGGGACAGACTCCACTCTGCCTTCTGCTGAAACAGGGAGGCCAGCCAGTCTCCAAGGGACAAGTGTGGGCCAGGAGTCGGCCCAGGAACCTGAGCCCTCCTTGCCACTGCAGCCATGTCCACCTGTACCCCCAGCACCCCAGGGCTGCCCGCTACGTCTGGAGGCAAGCATGAATCCAGTGCTTCGCTTTTAGGACTGCTCTTGGCCTGCTGAGCACTCCTCCCTGCTTTTAGCTTCTGTAAGATCTGCCTGTCCGAAGCCTCTGCCCTCCAGCCTCCTGACCTTGCCTCTTCAAGGCTGAGCTCTAAGCTAAGCTCAGGGCATCCCAGCAGCCCTCTTAGTTGGACAGGCTAAGATGTCTTTGCCAGGTTCCCACCTACCCCTCATTTCTCACTCCTAAGTTCAGGGCAAAGCTGGCTTCTGAGCAGTTGCCCCAGTTACTCCAGCTGGCGCCAGGCCTGACCTCTGCCTTGCCCAGAATCCCTTCCAGACATTCCACAGGCAGAGGTGAGCACTGCCCCAAGGGGGCACTCACATAGAGTAGCCACCTCAGAGCCAAATTTGTGCCAGATGCTGAGGCACAAAACTAGGCCCTGTCCCCAGAAGCTCCCCATCTGATGGGGTGACTTCCTGACATTGGGGCGGTGCTGATAGGGGCCAGGAACCCTGAAGGCAGTGACCACCCCCACTCTGCCCAGGGCAAGATGACTACGACCGCCTTCGGCCCCTGTTCTACCCTGACGCCAGCGTCCTGCTGCTCTGCTTCGATGTCACCAGCCCGAACAGCTTTGACAACGTCTCTGCCCGGGTAGGTATGGGATGCAGGGAGGCATAGCCCCCATAGCCGGCCACTTGGCTCTGCTGCCCACCCTTGACCCAGCTGACTGTCAGAGGTTGGCAGGTCCGAGATGACATTGAGTCCAGAGGCTCTGGCATATATATGGGGAAACTGAGGCCCAGAGTGGGGCAGTGGCTTGCCCAGGGTCCCTGGCACAGGGATTTGGTGGCAGCATCTGCCCTTCTGACTCCCAGTACAGGGCTCCTTGCCTACTCTAGGCTGCAGACTCCGAACGCTGTGGCTCTTCCCACTTCGAGTCTGCCTGAGGTTGCTGGTGACCCAGAGGCTCCTGCATCTCCAAAGCCTGCGCCTGCCCGAGGCACATGCACCGTCAGGTCAGAGTCCAGCAGCTCTTCGTGGCTGCTGGTTCTCAGAGGCTGCCCACGGGCATCAGGGATGTGGCCCCTTGAGTTCCTCTCTGTTCCAGCTGCCTTTAGCCGTGGCACAGCCCCTCACCCACTGCCACCAGGGCCTCCGAGGTTCTGCCGGGTACAACCTGTGATAGTATTTGCAACAACAACAACACCGACGGCGACGATTTTAAGGACTGACCACGTTCCAGGCACTGCTCTGGGTACTAGCATGTATTTACTCATTTACCCACCCCGGCCAACCTTATGGAGTATTATTATTCCTGGATCGAGTCACTCGTCCAAAGATATACAGCTATTAAAGTGGTAACACTGGTTTGAACCCAGGCAGCCTGCTCCACCCATTCATTCAGAACGAATGATTGAGCACATCCGTCTGCCAGGTGTTGTTCTGGGCACTGGGGACCAGGAGAGATGGTGGTGCCTGGGACCAGGGTGCTAGCCGTGGGGGTGGTGAGGAGGGGGTTGATTCTGAATCAGTCTAGAAGGAGGAGTTTGCTGATGATCAGGGTTTGCTGATGGATTGGAGGTGGATGGGAGGGAGGAATTTTTACCAGAGCAGCTGGAAGGTGGAGTCGCCCTTGCCTAGAATGAGGAGCAAGCTGGGGATGGGGCGTGGGATGGGGAGAAGGCAGGTCTGCTGGACATCCTAGTGGAGGCATCCGGCAGGCAGTGCGAGGCATGCTTCTGCAATTCGTCTGAGCAGGCAGGACTGTTGGGGAGAGGAGGGAGAGCAGCTAGAGGAGAGGAAAGTCCACAGCCTGTGCCCCAGGGAGAGGAGGAGGAGGATAAGGCCCCAGAAGACCTAGGAGATCAGGACAGTGGGGTCCTGGGGTGAAGTGCAGGCTTGGTCAGGTAGGAGGGAGTGATGCCCAGGGTCAAGGCTGTCAAGGGATCTGGTAGGAGCAGGGCTAAGGATTCACTGCTGGTGGCCGGGCACAGTGGCTCATGCCTTGTAATCCCAGCACATTGGGAGGCCGAGGTGGGTGGATCATTTGAAGTCAGGAGTTTCAGACCAGCCTGACCAACATGGCAAAACCCTGTCACTACTAAAAATACAAAACTGAGCTAGGCATGGTGGCAGGCACCTGTAGTCCCAGCTACTCAGGAGGCTGAGGCAGGAGTATCACTTGAACTGAGGAGGTGGAGGTTGCAGTGAGCTGAGATCACACCACTGCACTCCAGCCTGGATGACAGAGTGGGACTCCATCTCAAAAAAAAGCATATTCACTGCTGGGTTAAGTGGGAGGCACCAAGGAAACCTTTTTCACTAACACTTTGGTGGATGGGTGGGGTGTGGGGAATCTGCCAGGGACCCCACAAAGGCCCCATTGGTTCCAGGAATGAGGTAGTGGGACGCCATTTTTTTTTTTTTTTTGAGATAAAGTCTCACTCTGTTGCCCAGGCTGGAATGCAGGGGTGCAATCTCTGCTCCGCCTCCTGGGTTCAGGCTATTCTCCTGCCTCAGCCTCCTGAGTAGCTGGGATTACAGACTCCTGCCACCATGCCTGGCTAATTTTTGTATTTTTAGTAGAGACAAGGTTTTACCACGTTGGCCAGGCTGGTCTCAAACTTCTGGCCTCAAGTGTCTGCCCACCTTGGCATCCCAAAGGGCTGGGATTACAGGCATGAGCCACCAAGCCCAGCCGATGCCAATTTTTACTGGGCACGTTTGACACCTGAGCCGGCAGACTTGGTGCTCCTGGAGATAGAAAGCCCCCTCTCTGGATTCCAAGCCCCCCACCTGCAGTCCAGGCTGAAATAACTCGGGCCTGGTGGCCTCACATTTTGCAGAGCAGCCTTCCCTCCACCAGGCAAGCAGTTGAGGCAGACAGCTGCTGCGGCATTTTATGGGCAGATTTATTTACTTATTTATTTATTTTGAGACAGAGACTCTGTCACCCAGCCTGGAGTGCAGTGGCTCCATCTCAGCTCACAGCAACCTCCGCCTGCTGGGTTCAAATAATTCTCCTCCTTCTGCCTCCCCAAGTAGCTGGGACTATAGGCACGTGACACCACGCCTGGCTATTTTTTTTTTTTTTTTTTTTTTTTGAGATGGAATCTCTCCCTATTGCCCAGGCTGGAGTGCAGTGGCGCGATCTCGGCTCACAGCAACCTTCGCCTCCTGGGTTCAAGCAATTCTCCTCCCTCAGCCTCCCAAGTAGCTAGGATTACAGGTGCACACCACCACACCCAGCTAATTTTTTGTATTTTTAGTAGAGACGGAGGGTTTCACCATGTTGGCCAGGCTGGTCTCGAACTTGTGACCTCAGGTGATCCACCCTCCTTGGCCTCCCAAAATGCTGGCATTGCAGGCATGAGCCACCGCACCTGGCCACCGCACCTGGCCAGATTTATTCTCAAAGAATCACTTCTTTCCTTATATATTTTGCCCAGTTTAGGGGGTGGCTGTGAGGGCCCTTACCCTGCAGAGAGGCAGGATTCTAGAAGGGCAGGAGCCCCACCCCTAGGCTCAAATCCTGCCATTTCCAGCCAAGGCCGAGTTACACTGCCTCTCTGTGCCTCAGTTACCACATCTGCATGGTGGGATTGATTATGAACTTGCTGCCAGGGAGTTGGGGGATTAATGGGTCCATATGTGTAAATTCTTAGATGAGTCTGGTACTGAATAGTTTCTCCCTAGATGCTGGCTGTGAGGATTACCGATATCAGAGTCCAGGCTGGGGAGCGGGAGCGTGGCCCGCTGAGAGGGCCGGAACTCTCCGGGGCTCACACACGCCCCCTCGCCCCCTTGCAGTGGTACCCAGAAGTGAATCATTTCTGCAAGAAAGTGCCCATCATCGTCGTGGGCTGCAAGACTGACCTGCGCAAGGACAAATCACTGGTGAACAAGCTCCGAAGAAATGGGCTGGAGCCTGTGACCTACCACAGGGTAGGAAACCCAGCCTGAGGTGGGAGTGGGTGACTGGGGGCGGGGACCTCTGGATGCCTCTCAGTGGCACCAGGCATCCAGCACACTCAGGGTGTAGGTCAGAGCAGGGGTCGTCTTAGGGGCTGTCAGGTCAGGAACTTCCAGCACTTGGAAATGGTCCCTAGAATACCCTGGGAGCCTCTGCCGGCAGAAGGGAGAACAAGAAAGTAGGCGTATCAGAGTCAGTTCCACCACCAACCTGAGACCCAGAGAGGAGGCCAGGCAGGCACCCACATATTCAGACTGTGGGTCCCTCTGCTACACACTTGGGTCCATGGGAAGTTCATTTCTTGGTGCCTCGAGAGGCAAAGAGGCCCAGCACAGAACAGAGGTAAGAAACACAATGAGGGCCAGGCACAACGGCTCATGCCTGTAACTTTGGGAGGCTGAGTCTGGAGAATTGTTTAAGTCCAGGAGTTTCAGACCAGCCTGGGCAACATAGGGAGACCTCATCTCTACAAAAAAAGTAAAAAAAAAATAGTGGGGCATAGTGGCTGGTCCCAGCTACTTGGGAGGGTGAGGCGGGAGGATCCCTTGAGTCCAGAAGTTCCAGGTTACAGTGAGCCAAGATTTGCACCACTGCATTCCAGCCTGGACAACTGGGCAACAGAACAAGACCCTGTCTCAAAAAAAGAAAGAAAGAAAGAAAGAAAAGGCCAGGCATGGTGGCTCACTCCTGTAATTCTAACACTTTGGAAGGCCGAGGTGGGCAGATCACAAGGTCAGGAGTTTGAGACCAGCCTGACCAACATAGTCTCTACTAAAAATACAAAAATTAGCCAGGCGTGGTGGCAGGCACCTGTAATCCCAGCTACTCAGGAGGCTGAGGCAGGAGAATCGCTTGAACCCGGGAGGCAGAGATTACAGTGAGCTGAGATCGCACCATTGTACTCCAGCCTGGACGACAGAATGAGACTCCATCTCAAACTGTCTCAAAAAAAAAAAAGGCCAGGCACAGTGGCTGCACTTTGGGAGGCCAAGGTGGGAGGATCATTTGAGGTCAAGAGTTCCAGACCACCCTGGGTAAAACAGTGAAACCCCATCTCTACCCAAAATACAAAAAATAAGCCAGGTGTGGTGGGAGGCACCTGTAGTCCCAGTACTCTGGAGGCTGAGGCAGGAGAATCACTTGAACCGGGGAGGTGGATTTGCAGTGAGCTGAGATCATGCCATTGCATTCCAGCCAGGACGACAGAGCAAGACTTCATCTCAAAAAAAAAGAAAAAAAAAAACAACAAACAGGATAAAGTACATGAGGGTGCTTGGGCAGCCAGGGTACAGGAGCTGTGGGTGCCCGGCAGACCCCACCTTCCACTCTTATCCAGGGAAGGAAGCCGGGACGTGAGCACCGCCCAGTGCCCCCCTCATGGCAGCCCTGTCCACCTCTCCCTCTAGGGCCAGGAGATGGCGAGGTCCGTGGGCGCCGTGGCCTACCTTGAGTGCTCGGCTCGGCTCCATGACAACGTCCACGCTGTCTTCCAGGAGGCGGCCAAGGTGGCTCTCAGCAGCCGCAGTCGCAACTTCTGGCGGCAGATTACCCAGGGCTTTTGCGTGGTGACCTGAGTGGCACCTGGCGTCCCAGCGGCATGGGAAGGGGCTGGGCACTGACCTGCTGCTGAGCTGGCTGGGCTGGACCTGGTCCCCAGGCTGTGACTGGCGAACTGCACTGCAACAGACGGGTGCCATCAAGGCAAGGCCTTGGGAGTCCTGGCCTGAGAAAGGGGGTTCCTGGGCCCACCTGCCCTGTGGAGGGCTCGCCCTGTGGTGCCCGGGAATCACTCACTGACCCGGGTATCAGCTCCGGATCGACATCCTGGAGCTGCCCGTGCAGGCTGATGCCCCCTCATGGCTGCTCCCAGGGCTGCATCTGCCAGGACCTAGTGTTCTTAAGGACCCTCCTACCAGAACCCACACCTGGCCCCTTCCCACCTGTCATGCTGGTAACTGTAACAACGAAATTGACATCACTTGTCATTTGTGTCATGCCTCTTATTTCAAAGCAGCTTTACACACACCTTCCAAGGTAGGTAAGAGCCCACCCTATCTAGGCACTGGGATGGGACTCCTTGGCTCCAAACCAAGCTTTATTGCTTCTGTGACCTTGGGCAAGTTCTGGGCCTCAGCTTCCTCACCTGTGAAACAGAACACCGACTAAGCCATGGAGCTTTGGGATGAGTAAGAGGGTCATGAGGACCACACATGCAAAGAGATTAGTAGGTGTTGGGCGCGGTGGCTCATGCCTATAATCCCAGCACTTTAGGAGGCCAAGGTGGGTGGATCACGAGGTCAAGAGATGGAGACCATCCTGGTCAAGGTGAAACACCGTCTCTACTAAAAAATACAAAAATTAGCTGGGCATGGTGGCGCGCACCTGTAATCCCAGCGACTCCAGAGGCTGAGGCAGGAGAATTGCTTGAACCCAGGAGGTGGAGTTTGCAGTGAGCCGAGATAGTGTCATTTGCACTCAAGCCTGGGTAACAAGAGCGAAACTCCGTCTCAAAAAAAAAAAGAGATTAGTAGGTGCCTAGCACGCAGTGCTCACAGAAGTTTCAGTCAGGGCCAGATGCAGTGGCTCACCGCTGTAATCCCAGCACTTTGGGAGGACAATGTGGGTGGATCACGAGGTCAGGAGTTCAAGACCAGCTTGACCAACACAGTGAAACCCCGTCTCTACTAAAAATTACAAAATTTAATCTCTACAAAAATTAGCTAGGTGTGGTAGTGCGCACCTGTAATCCCAGCTACTTGGGAGGCTGAGACAGGAGAATCTCTTGAACCCAGGAGGTGGAAGTTACAGTGAGCTGAGATTGTGGGACTGCACTCCAGCTTGGGTGACCTAGCGAGACTCCATCTTAAAAAAAAAGGTTCAGCCAGGTGTGGTGTCACACCTGTCCCAGCCATAATTGCACCAGTGCACTCCAGCTTGGGCTACAAAGCAGGAAAAAAAAAGTGGTCAGGCATGGTGGTTCACGCCTGTAATTCCAACACTTTGGAAGGCTGAGGCAGACAAATCATCTGAGGTCAGGAGTTGGAGACCAGCCAGGCCAACATGGTGAAACCCGGTCTCTACTAAAAATACAAAAATTAGCCTGTTGTGGTGGCACGCTCCTGTAGACCCAGCTACTCAGGAGGCTGAAGCTGGAGAACTGCTTAAACCCAGGAGGCAGAGGTTGCATTGAGCTGAGATTGCACCACTGCACTCCAGCCTGGGGGAGAGAGCAAGACTTAGTCTCAAAAAAAAAAAAAAAAGAAATGAAGGATGGCAAAAGTTGTTTCCCATCCTGAGCAGGTTAAAAACTCAATGGGGCCAGGCTCAGTGTCTCATGCCTGTAATCCCAGCTATTTGGGAGGCTGAGGAGGTGGATCACCTGAGGTCAGGAGTTCGAGGCCAGCCTGGGCAACATGCTGAAACCCCATCTCTACTAAAAAAAGCAAAAAAAAAAAAAAAAAAAATTAGCCAGGCATGGTGGTGGGCACCTGTAATCCCAGCTGCTTAGGAGGCTGAGGCAGGAGAATCACTTGAACCCAGGAGGCAGATGTTGCAGTGAACCAAGATTGTGCCACTACACTCTAGCCTGGGCAGCAGAGTGAGACTCTGTCTCAAAAATTATAATAAAATAAAATATAAATATAAATAATAAAAATTTAAAAAAAAACTCACAGAGCCAGACACAGTGACTCACACCTGTAATCCCAATACTTTGGGAGGCCGAGGCGGGTGGATCACCTCAGATCAGCAGTTCAAGACCATCCTGGTCAACAAGGTGAAACCCCATCTCTACTAAAAATACAAAAAATTAGCTGGGCATGGTCGCGCGTGCCTGTAATCCCAGCTACTCAGGAGGCTGAGGCAGGAGAATTGCCTGAACCCAGGAGGCGGAGGTTGCGGTGAGCCAAGATCGTGCCATTGCACTCCAGCCTGGGTAACAAAAGCGAAACTCTGTCTCAAAAAAAAGCCACTCACAGTGGGGACTGGAATCCCCAAAAGTGGGGTTTTGTAGGGCCATTGGGGCCCCACAGGGTCATGGGGTGTCCCTTATGCTGTATTGAGGTTCAGGATCCAAGAAGTAAAGGGACAGGACACTGAAGAACTGGTGAAGAGCATCTGGACTCGGGGGGCCACACAACCTGTGATCGGAGATCAGTAACGGCCCCCAAATGCCCAAGAGCATCTGTTATTTATTAGGTGCATTTATTAGGGGTTGTGAGTGAGGTCATCATCTATAGGTCTAGTGATAGGGCATACATAATCAAGTGAGTCACAAGCGAGGGGGCCACCCCATTATGTCACCTGGATAGAGAGGTGGGCTGTGTGCAGCAGGGGCCATGCCATGCACAGTAGAGGGTCATGTGCAAAAAAGGGGTCCCCCATTAGGTCATTGAGGCAAGGAGGTGGGCTATATGCAACAGGTGTCATGCACAACACTTCTTATCTGGGGGCTGGAGACTTCAAAGGATTTCTAATAGAAGGATGCTATAAGCTTAATGCAGTGGGAGCTGACAGACTTGTGCTCTTAAGATATTTATGGGAGGAAGATTTGAGCCAGCACAGAAGCGAGAAGAGACTGACAGGGTGTACAGCCGCCATGACTGGTCACACCAGAGGGGTTCTTCTCCCTCGGTTACTTCCAGGATCTCAGGCCTGAGGCCGACTTTCCACAGGAGCTGGATGCAGGTGCTACAGCTCCTTTATCATGAGGAGAGGCTCTTGCTCCAAGCCTGCATACAGCGTGTGCCCTTTCAGGCAGGGACGCTACTGCCTGGGTCTTTGGTTCTCGTCCTGGTCTGGCTGTTTTCCCATGTACTGCTCCTGTTCTGTGACTGCTCTAGGCATTCCTCTTACTACAAACTACCATGTGGTTATATGGAAGGATTCTGTAAATCAGCACTAAATGTGTCGGTACAGCTCCGACTGCAGCACCTATATGATTATATAGAAAGATTATATAGAACTAAGTACGCTAGATATAAGCATTAAGTACTATTATATAAACTAGATATATGTAAGCAGTAAGTTATACTCAGGCACTAATTCTATAAACTAATATATGATTATATATGAAGGATTATATAAAGGAAATAGCTGAGTAATAACATTATAAACTAAGATATTCTTCAGGCACTAATTGTGCCTGGGGTCTGGACAGTTCTCCTTCCTCAGTGCCCATGGGGGGGGTGTTACCCATGGGGTTTTCCACATAGGCCCCTAACTATTTCACCTACTGCAGCTCAGCCCTATAACCTGAGCTGTGAGCCTCCACGTTGCTGAGGCAGTCCCCCACCTGGAGCTGTTTCTGATGAAACTTTCAGAACTGGTGTCAGCAGCTGGTTCTCTGTAAGGATCATGCATATTAGTGCAAAAGAAATGGTCCAATTTGGCTGGGCACAGTGTGTCGTGCCTGTAATCCCAGCACTTTGGGAGGCTGAGGTGGGTGGAATGCTTGAGGCCAGGAGTTCGAGAACAGCTTGGGCAACATGGTGAAACTGCGTCTCTACAAAAAATACAAAAATTAGCCTGGTTTGGTGGCATGTGCCTGTGGTCCTAGCTACTTGGGAGGCTGAGGCAGGAAAACCGCTTGAACCCAGAAGGCAAAGGTTACAGTGAGCCGAGATAGTGCCAGTACACTCCAGCCTGGATGACAGAGTGAGACCCCATCTCAAAAAAAAAAAAGAAAGGAAGAAAGGAAGGAAAGAAGGAAGGAAGGAAGGAAGGAAGGGAGGGAGGGAGGGAGGGAGGGAGGGAAGAAAGAAAGAGAAAAAGGAAGAGAAAAAAGAAGAAAGGAAGAAAGAAAGAAAGAAAGAAGGAAAGAAAAATACACATTTGGTTTTGGAGTTTACAGAGAGCTCTGCTTAGGTTCATTCTGTCTGAAGAATATTTGGGCTGGAGTCCAGAGCACATGGGCACAGAGCAGATGAGTGCGGTTCCGGCTGCTGGTTCATGGTTTGGTTCAGATCAAGCCCTGAGCATAAGAAAGTTACTTATTCAGGCCAGAAATGAAGCCATGGGGTCATAAGCATCCTGCTCACCTTGTAGCTTGGCCAGGTGGGGAGATAGTGGGGGTACTCAGACTGCCTCTGATTCAGGACACCCCAAGATCTCTCCTAGGAAATGACTTCCCCTCAAGCCCCAACAGGATTCTTTTTTTTATAGACAGAATCTTACTCTGTTGCCCAGGCTGGAGTGCAGTGGTGCAGTCATGTCTCACTGCAGCCTTAAATTCCTAGACTCAAGTGATCCTCCCGCCTCAGCCTCCTGAGTAGCTGGGACTACAGGTGCAAACCACACCTGGCTAATGCCCCTGCAGGGTTCTAAGTGCTACAAAGGAGAGCAGATCATGGTGGGTGGGCTTATTCACTGAATCGGTTTTTTTTTAAATAGATACAGGGTTTCACCATGTTGGCCAGGTTGGTCTCGAACTGCTGACCTCCGGTGATCTGCCCGCCTCGGCCTCCCAAAGTGCTGGGATTACAAGCATGAGCCACCATGCCCAGCCTGAATTGGTTTTAATAAGTTCACATTGACTTAAGACTCACTGAGTGGGGCCAGGTGTGGTGGCTCATGCCTGTAATACCAGCACTTTGGGAGGCCGAGTTAGGTGGATTGCCTGAGGTTAGGAGTTCAAGACCAGCCTGGCCAATATTGTGAAACCCCATCTCTACTAACAATACAAAAATCAGCTGGGCATGGTGGTGGTGGGCGCCTGTAATCCCAGCTACTTGGGAGGCTGAGGCATGAGAATCGCTTCAACTTGGGAGGTGGAGGTTGCAGTGAGCTGAGATCACACCATTGCACTCCACCCTGGGCAACAAAGAGAAATTCTGTCTCAAAAAAAAAAAAGACACACTGAGTGCCCACTGCTGTGCTGAATCATTTTTCACGAAGTATTCCATTTAGTAATGACAGGCGCCAGCGAGCTAGGACCAGGTACACACCCACCTCACAGATAAAGAGGCAGAAGCACAGAGGGTT